TCTCTCTCTCTCTCTCTCTCTCTCTCTCTCTCTCTCTCTCTTTTTCTCTCCCTCTCTCTCTTCTATTTCTTTTTAGTAGGAGGAAATAGAGCAATGGCACACAAAATGAAACCATGCAAATTTCAATTTAGAATGTTATTACATCCTACAATAATTGATGCTTTCGGAGTTTTACTCGAATAACACATTACGATGATCAAAAGATTATATATTTATCTTCTACAAAATGGATTAAAATTTCCTTCTTTTCATTGTAACTGTTAACTTTTTGCATAAAGTAGCTGGTACGTTGGACGACTTTTGTTGCTAAAAACGGAAATATTAAAATTTCTCTATTACGTTTCCTAAGAAAACGTTTTTTAATGTCATTTTCAATACATTTAGTCTCACTTTTCTTAAAAACGTGATATGACAAAATAATTTCATTTACGTATTCATTCTCAACGATAAAAAGTCTACAAGAATTATTTTTCCAATTCGTGATTTAAAATCCGTTTCAAAAAGTGTAATTTCAGTTTCCAAGTAGAGTATATATCTGCGATGACTTTTTCTAGAGCACGTAATGCGTCCGGAAAGACGCGGTTTTTCTCCGAGATGAACGAGACGACGGTGAGCTCCTCCGAGTACGAATCCTTCGGCGTCGTCGTCGTCGTGATAATTAACGATGAACAGACGAGTAAACGTGTACGTGTAACTTTCGCGTCATCGACCAGTTACGGCATCCCCGTAAGCGAAACTAGCGAAAGAGGTGAACGTAACACGATTGTTCGGAGCCAGACGAGACGAACGTACACCCAGAAACAGCACAATCGTGTACGTACATTCATATACATACACGTACGTGAATTCACAAAACCCATCTAATCATGTGGATCGCGTAACAGCGGACGGCGGTTGTTAGACTCGTGCGATCGCTCGCACGAGTCTAAAATAACGGTGCACAATTCTCGCGTTGATGTGTAGGTATTATTTTATACTTGCTACATTTGTCTCGTGTTTCTTTTGTTCTCTCTCCAGAGAAGGAATTTTTTTACGATCAATGGCTTGTAATGCAAATTTTCGTCAAAATGTTCTAGAATAAATTTCTTCAATTCCTTATGGAATAGAATTTTGTTTTTAAGAAAAAAGACTCTTTACAAGTTAATATTAATTATAAGTTATAATTATATACAAGTTATATGTATAATTAATTCTGAGTAAATAAGCCATATGTGTGGCGAAAGTCATTACGTCAAATATCAGTTAATTGTACGCATATTAGGTTAATTTAATGTTCACAAAGTTTTTTCTTAAAAATAAAAATTTTAGTAAAAAAAATATACTTTATCATTTTAATTTATTTTCAGTCGTAGAATTATCCCTTCTCCGATTGTATCATGTATTTTGGCTCATCCTGTATAAAAAAATGTTTATAAAAAAAATTTCTTGTTAATAAAAGTAATTTGTTTGTAGCCTCGAATCAATTCCATTGATTCGATATTTGTCTCGAGTCTATGGAATTGAGCCTAATCAGAGCTTGGAGGATATATGTATATCAAAATGATATATATATGTATATCATTTTAATATACATATATACACCGTGATATGCATTGACATAATACATAACGATACATATATAGTTTTGTTATATATATCACACACACACAATGAATAAAATTTTATAAAACTAACAACTTAAATTAAATTTAAATAATGGCGATGTTGCGTATTATTGATATTTTATATGATTGTAAATTTCCATAGAAGTCTCGCTTCATTCATTATTCTGTACATTTATATTTCCATAATCTTTTTTTTATTAAATTTGCATTGCATGAAATTATATTGTAAATTATTTTGGTTCCAAATAAAATTGTTCCAAATAATGGCTAAAGTAGTTGAAAAAATTCTTTAAATAACAATACTTTCTTATCTACGTTAATTAGATAATTACTTAGTTTCCTATTTTTTTAATATTATGTATTATCTTATCAGTTATATATTGTTCTATTTTCTTGTGTATACTTTTTGTTTATAGAAAAAACCATCACCTACAAAAAGATTTAATAATTTTTCAAAAACGATACAAACTTTGGTAAAAATAGACTTACTTTTTGAGATATTATAAAAAATTGTATACATATATAAATATCTACAAGTGGACATTAATGATTCTTTCGAAGCTTGCTGAGAATTCATCCCATCATTTTTGTGTGACCGAATTCTACTTTGTGCTTGTTCCGCTGCGACCAAAGAGGGAGCGACCCTTTTGGCTTCGTGCGACCCCAAAGGGGAGGATTAATTCGTTTACGTATAGGAAAAGAGTTCACGGACTTTGTGGCGTAGGTGTGAGTGTGTGTGCGGGCGCGACTTACAGGATGTGGGGCGAGTTTCGCGATAAAAACGATACATCGAATTCTCTCCGTCCGCGGGATGTGCATCATTCTACGTCGGAATCTCTTGTTCGCTAAACGAACAAAGGATGCAGGACCCAACTATGGATATGGACATGTAAAAGAATACGATGACTGTCGAAGGTTATCATGCGAAGAAAACAAGGGTATTATATTAAACAGATAAAACCGCAGGAAACCTATTCTTGCGATTTATTCGCAGAATTATTCACTAACGCGAACAATTTCGGAGAAAGTGAAAATTGCTCTGCTTCCAATTCTGCGAGTAATGTAACGGTTATGGAAAGAGAACAGTTATGATGAATTTCGAATGTTTCTTTCAGTGCAAACTGTTAA